CCCACGTGCAGCAGCGCCCGCGCGAAGGCGGCGCGGTCGGGGCTCACGGCCTCCAGGCAGAAGGCCGAGAGCAGAGCGTCGGCCGGCGGGTCCAGGGGGGCTCCCAGAGGGTGCGGGCGGTGCACGTCGATGGGCAGGATCCGGCGGAGGCGATCCCGCAGCCGGCGCTCCTTGTCCTGCCACGGCTCCCTGAGGGGTGTGGGGGGGGAACGGCGGGAAGGGGGGAGTGAGGAGGGGTGTGTGTGGGAGTGATTGAGGGGAGAGCACAGGGATGTGGGGATGGGATCGACCCAGAACCCAGCAGGATGTGGGGATGGGATCCTGCAGGGATGTGGGAACAGAATGAACCCAGCACACACTGGGGTGTGGGGATGGGATCAGTCCAGAACCCACAGGGATATGGGGATGGGATCAATCCAGAACCCACAGGGATATGGGGATGGAATGAACCCAGAAACCACAGGGAAGTGGGGATGGGATGAACCCAGAAACCACAGGGACATGGGGATGGGATGAACCCAGAACCCACCAGGATGTGGGGATGGGATCCTGCAGGGATGTGGGAAGGGAATGAACCCAGCACACACAGGGATGTGGGGATGGGATCCTGCAGGGATGTGGGAAGGGAATGAACCCAGCACACACCGGGATATGGGGATGGGATGAACCCAGAACCCACAGGGATATGGGGATGGGATCAATCCAACACACAGGGATGCAGGGACAGGATCCTGCAGGGACGTGGGAGTGGGATCGTGCAAGGATGTGGGGGTAGGATCAATCCATAACCCCTGAGGACCTGGGAATGGGATCTTGCAGGGGTGGACCCAGCACCCGCAGGGACAGGATCCCCTGGGGATCAACCCAGCAGCCAAGTGATGGGAGGGAATTGGGTGGGGATTGATCAGGAATGCACAGGGTTGTGGGGACAGAATCCCATGGATATGTGGAGCAGGGATCTTGCAGGGATCACCCCAGCATTCACAGGGGTCGAAGGGGGGAGGCTGTGATCACCTGGGATTTGGGGACATGATTCCTCGGGGACCATCCCAGCATCTGCAGGAGCATGGGGCTGTGATCCCGTGGGATTTGGGGATAGAATCCCTCAGGGATCATCCCAGCATCTGCAGGAGCATGGGGCCGTGATCTCATGGGATTTGGGGACAGAATCCCACAGGGATCACCCCAGTGTCTACAGGGATGTGGGGCTGTGATCCTGGGGGGCCTTGGGCACAGGATCTGGCAGGGACCACCCCAACACCACCCCTCTCCCCCTGTACCCCCCCCAACCTCCCCCAGGTGCCCCCCACGCCCCCCTACCCGCGGCCCTCGATCTTGCAGACGTGCTGGATGAAGGGGCTCCAGTCGAAGGCTCCGGGGTCCCCCCGCACCCACCGGCCCAGCTCCTCCCTGTTCACCGCCAGGTAGTCGGTGGCCACGATCTCCTCGAAGTGGTCGCAGGCGCTCAGCAGTTGGTAGATGGTGGGGCCTGAGCCCACATCGATCAGGGTCTGGCCCCGGATCTCACCTGGGCAGGGGGGAGGGGACACAACATGGAGGAGGGAAGGGTCCCACACCCACCCGGGGGACCGGGAAAACCCGGGCGGGCGATGGGAGCTGCCCCCAGGGTGAGGGGTGGGCGCGGTGGGTACCGAAGGTGCCCCGTGCCTCAGTTTCCCCACCCCGCTGCGGGGCTTTGGGGGGGGTCCCCGAGCCTCCTCTCACCGCTGGCAAAGGTGTTGGCGAGGCATCGCAGCTTCCAGGGCACCACGAACTCCTCGGAGGAGAAGTCGGCGCGGGGGGGGAGGTAGTTGTTGCGCAGGTACGCGCGGGGGTCGAAGCGCTCGTAGCCCTCGCGGAGCTCGGCCAGGCTGCTCATGGCGGGGGGGGCTGCGGCTCCCGCGCCCGGGAATCGCCTTTTATCCCTGTCCGGGCCCGGGGGGGGCGACGGGGAGCCGTGACGGCCCCATCCATCCAGCCCCCCGTCCCTCCATCCATCATCCATCCCGGCTCCCAGCCGTCCATCCATCCCCGGTAACTGGGTTAGCGCCGGAGCCCCGGAGCCATCCCGGAGCTGATAATGCTCCACTGCCCTTCCCGGGCTGAGGGATCCAGGAATCCTGTCCCAGTCCCTGTGTCTGGGACACTGTGACCAGCCCTGCGCTGCCCCAGGGCTGGGAATGCTCATGAGTGTCCCATAGGATGGGAATGGGGAGGGATTGGGATGGGGATAAGGATGGAAAGGGTTTGGGGTGGGGGGAGGAATGTGACTGGGAAGGGGATGGGAATGGTGTGAGATGGGGATGGCAACGTGGAGGGATTGGGGTCGAATGGGATGGGGATGAGGGTGGGAAGGGTTTGGAATGAGATGAGGGTTGGGGTGGGGGAAATGGAATAGGGGTTGGAATGGAGATAGGAAGGGATTGGAAAGGGATGGGGATGGAAAAAGGATGATGGAGATGGAAAAGGGATTGGCATGAAGTGGGGCTTGGGATGGGAAGGGATTGGGATGGGGCCTATCTGAGCTCACCATCACCAGTGAGCCGAGTGTGCTGGACCCCAGCCCAGCCCTGGCAGGAGCTGCACCATCTCTGCCAGATCCCAGTGCTCCCAGTGCTCCCAGCACTCTGGGACAAGGAGCAGTGCAAGACCCACTTGTGGGGCTGGGGGGGGGTTTGAAGACCCCAAATCCTGTCTGTGCCGGAGCTGTAGGTGGGTGAAGGGGAAGGAACAGGTGGCTCCTGGTAGGAAAGGCCAGGAACGGGGCCGGGATGGAGCCGGGCCGGGCACAGGGAGGGCACAGGGCCTGGCAGGGGCCCAGGGACAGTGGGATCCGGACAGGAACAGCTAATCTGGGCACCGGGGGCCATCCTGGATCCTGGCACCAGGGCAGGCGACAAGGGGGGGTTATATAAGCACAAAGGCCCCCCCTCCCCCCAAAATCCGCCCCCCCAAACCCTGCAGGGCACCCGTGTCCCTGCAGCTGCTGTGCCTCAGTGTCCCACATCCCACAGAAGGTCCCTCCCCCTAAGCCTCGCCCCCCCCTTCCAAACTCCCCCCCCAAAGACACCTCCTGCACAGCGTGAGCCTTTTATTGCCGTACAAAGACCATCGTTTGTACAGCCCCAGCCCCCCCCCCCGCCCCCCCCGGCAGCCCCCCCAGGGCCCCCCCTCGGCCCCGGGCAGGTCTCAGCGCTCCTCATCTTCACATTCCCGTCTCTTTGCCAGGGAAACTGAGTCACGCCGGTGCTGCCGGGAGCCCCCCGAAGCGCGGGAGGCCCCCGACCCGCAGGGACCCGATCCCGACCGGCCCCCACCGCACCCTCAGCGGGGTGGGCTCCCAGGAGCAGGGGAGCCCACCCCCACCTGCCCCCTCCCTCCTGCGCTGCCTCTTCGGGGTGGCTGAGCAGACCCAGGTCTCTGGGTCCCCCCAGCCCCCCAAAATCAGCCTCGTGCCCCCCCAACCCCGACCCCACCCCTCGTCCCCCGTCCCCGCTCAGCCCCGCTGGGCTTCGTGGGAGAGGGAGCGGGAGAGGGTCCGGGGGAGCCCCCCCTTGGCTCCGCGGAGGTCTGGGGGGGCGAAGAGGGGCACGGGGAAGGTGCGGGCGTAGGGCAGGAGGTGCTGGGCCAGGGGTTGCCCCAGGACCCCCACCCGGAGCAGCCCCCAGGGCGAGCGCTGCTGCAGGACCCGCACGGCCCCGCGCTGCTCCAGCGACTCCCGGCGCGCCGTGTCCACCTCCCGCCGGCACCACCTGGGCACGGGGCGTTTGTGAGGGTGAGCACAGGGACCCAGAGCCCCGCGGGGACCCCTCTGTCCTGCTTTTGCCTGTTAGGGGTTACCCCATCCCACTGGGAGACCCTCACCATGTCCTGCACCACCTCATGGGAGCCCCTGGAGCCTCCTGTGTCCCATCCTGTCCAGAAGGGACCCCCAGAGACCCCCATGTCCCACTCCATCCCACCAGGACCCCTGGAGACCCCCTTCTCCCACCCCATCCCGCAGTGACCCCAGGATAACCCCTGTCCTGCACCACCCCATGGCCCCATCAGGGTCCTTGGAGCCCCCAAACCCTATGGAAACATCCCACTTTGGGACCCCTGGAGTCTCCCACAGCCCTAGGAACCCATGGAAACCCCATAGTTTGAGACCCTTGGAGCCCCTCAAAGTCCCATCAGGACCCCTGAGCCGCCCACAACCCCAAGACCCTGTGGAACCCCATGGAGCCCCCCACAGTCCCCAGATCCCACGGAAACCCCATATTTTGGGGCCCCGTGGAACCCTCAAAGCCCCCATCATGACCCCTGGAGCTGCCCACAACCCCAAGACCTCATTTGGGACCCTTGGAGCCCCCCACGACCCCAGGACACCACAGAAACCCCACATTCCGGGACCCTTGGAGCCCCCCACAACCCCAACACCCCACGAAAACCCCGTGTCCCTTGGTGTCCCTCGCCCCCAGCACCCCCGTGCCCCCCTGTACCCCCCTGGCCGTGCCCCTCACCGCTCCTCGGGCCGGGTGCTGAGCTCCAGGTCCAGCCACTCGGCGCTGAAGGTCTCTCCCCTGCCCACGTCCCGCTCGCTGACGGAGCAGCCCAGGCGGGCTGAGAGCCCCCCGCCGCAGCCCCCCACCACGCCGGGGCCCACCATGGTGCCAGTGCCCCCCCCCTGCGCCCGCTCTGCTTTTATGGCCCCGCTCGGGCTATTTTGGGACGTGTCTCTGGCACGGCGGGCACGGGACGGTGCCAAGGAGGGGGTTTTGGGGGGGTGGCACTGCTGACACGTGTCACCCCTGCGTGTGCCACCCACGGGCGTGTACCCCCCCTACTGCCAGCAACGTGATGGCACCGGCGGGACCCCCCCTGGCCCCCACCCAGGGCACGTCCGGCCTTTCCCTGCCCCCGGGACCCCGGAGGGGGTCGATGGACACGGGGGTGCCACTGCCAATGTGGTGCCACTGCCACCCTGTGCCACCAGAGGGACATCGGGGGCCCTCCCTCAGGACAAGGGGGGGGTTCTGGCTGCAGGGCCCCCCAAACAGGCTGTTTATAGGGCTAACAGATGGGTGCCTGCCAGGTGCCAGCGGCCCAGGGCTCAGAGGCACGGGGCTGGTGACAAGGGGGGGACATGGGGCTCCAGCCCCCTCCCAGACACCCCCCAGCCGTGGGGGTCCCACCCTAGGGAAGCACCGAGGGTTGGGGGGCACGGGGGGCACCCAGTGCAGACGTGGAGGCTCCTCGTCCACGGAGCTGCCGGTGCCACTGCGGGGTGGGGGACAGTGACACCCAGGAGCAGGGACACCCACAGCCACTGCCACCACCCACAGCCAGAGGAGCCTGGAGACCCCACCCTTTGTGCCCGGGGGCCGGGGGGGGGCTTTGGGGTGACCCCATTCCTGGGCTTCGATCCCTGCGGGTGACAAAGGGCACGAGGGGCACGAGGAGCTGCAAACAGTGCAAGGCTTTAATTCCCCCCTCACAGATTTGGGGGGGGTCAGGGGCAGATCCCCAGGCCATGGGGAAGGGGGAGGGAGTGCAGAGAGCCCCGGGGGGGGGGGG